ATGACATCTTGATATCGGCTGTAAAATGAAACACGTACGAACAGTTTTGGCCAGAATTAGAAACACGGGTCTCCACCTCAAAAAAGAAAAATGTCAGATTAATGTAGCAAAGGTCGAATTCCTAGGGTACCTGATCGATGGGTCTGGAATCCACCCGACCTCACAAAAAATTAAAGCTATTAAGGACGCCCCCACACCTTGCAATCAGACCAAACTGCAGGCATTCCTTGGGCTCCTTAATTTCTACAGCGTCTTTCTCAAACAGAAAGCCACCATTACATCGCCTCCTAGCCAAGAACGTGAAATGGTCCTGGAGCAAAGCCGAGACCGCCACATTTGCCACAGTAAAATGACTTTTATCAACGGATTCTTTCCTAGTACAATACAGCCAGACCCTGCCATTGGTGTTGACCTGTGACACCTCCCCTTTTGGTGTCGGCGCTGTCCTCAGCCACCGCATGCCCAACGGAACTGAAGCCCCCATTGCATTTTACTCCAGGACATTGTCCTCCGCGGAGCAGAACTACAGCCAATTGGACCGCAAAGCTTTGGCTGCAGTGGTCGAAGTAAAAAGGTTCCACGAACATCTCTACAGCTGGGACTTTGAACTGGTTATGGACCACAAGCCATTGTTGGGCTTACTGGCTGGGGATCACCCCCACCCTGGTATCATTATCCCCCCCACATGACCAGGTGGACTATTTTCCTGGCTGCCTACTCTTCCCGCCTCATTCACCGACCTGGCTCCACTTTAGGGCATGTGGATGCCTTGAGCCACTTCCCATTGCCCAAAGTCATCACCGATCCCACCCCCGAGACGTTGGTCCTCCTCACTAACTGCCCGGAAACCGGACCCGTCTCATCTAGTGATGTTGCACGCCATTCTGCAAAGGACCCAAAAATAAAGCAAATTTTGAACTGGGTGTGGAAGGGGTGGCCCAAGGGGCCTCTTGGGGCTGATTTCAAAATATATTTTGCCAAACGTGATGAACTGTCAGTCATTAACAGGTGTTTGCTGTAGGGGGACCGGGTAATTATTCCCAACCAACTGCGCATTGCAGTAATAGAAGCATTACATGTAGGGCATCCTGGGATCGTCAGGATGAAGTCGCTGGCAAGGAGTTATGTTTGGTGGCCTAACATGGACAGGGAGATCGAAGAATGGGTGGCCACATGCACACCCAGTCAAGAGTCCAGACCGGCTCCTCCAGAAGCGCCCGATAAGGAGTGGGAGCAACCACAAGCACCATAGTCCAGGTTGCACATTGACTTTGCTGGACCAGTTCATGGTCAAACGTTCTTCATAGTTGTGGACGCTTACTCAAAATGGTTAGACGTAGTCCTGATGACTTCCACTACAGCAGAATCGGTCATCAAGGTACTACGGAGACTCTTCACCATGCACGGCTTGCCTGATGTCTTGGTCTCTGATAACGGGCCCCAATTTACTGCCATGCCATTCG